GAAAAAAGTAGCCAAAAGACCTATCACCCCCCCCCCTCAATGAAACAACGTATGTGAGGGGTGCCGGTAGTTTAGTGGTTGACGCGTCTGCGTTAACCACTGCGCGTCTGGGAGACCAGTGGTACAGGGTTCGATTCCCTGCGGTGCCCGCCCTTCCTGCCAGGGTGAGAGGCAGGCGACGCCATATAGCCTCAGCAGCTAAGTGCTTCGTAAAGCCCCAATGACATGGTATGACAAACAAGCTCTGTTCAGCCGTGGAGTAAATGTAACTAAGGTTGAGCTCACAGACACTCGTATTAAACGCACGGGGCTTCAGCCAGGGGTGAAAAAGGTGCATTGTCTGTCACCGACGGAAGTTGGAACTGTCTGAGCTGTCACCTGGGGTCAAATCTTTCGGAAACCGCTGCAAAATTCAAAATGCAATAAACCGCAAAAAGCCAAGACAGCTTAAATGCAATGCGGCACAACCATCAAACATTTTCGTTTCGGGAGTTGATTTGCACTGAAGTTCCGTTTGCTGGCCACAGAACATTAAATGAACGTTGAGGCCAACCGAAAAGAATTGTTAGATAAAGGCATACTTAACATGACTAGCCTCAGGGCGAGTAGTTTCATATTCAGTTTGGGGGGTTGGGGAGGGGGAGGCGGGATTGTGCCTCCTGACCAGAGATGCAGTTTTCTATTTAAGTTATCGTTTTATATATTGTTTGTTTCAAATGGCACGACGCTTTAAGACGCTGCGTAGCAAACTGATCATTTTCGTGGCAAGATGCTGTGGCGAGCCACGATTCTTACGATTAGTAACAGGCCGAATTGCTTGGTATTTTATACTGTTTAGTATGTAAAGCGAGCCTTGACTGAGTATCTGTGAAAACCACTGATCTGAAGGTCATTAGAAAGTCATTGGGCCCTCACTGACCTGTGACGTCAGGACTGATATAGTAGGGTTTGTAGTATGTTTGCGGTACCTGGCAAAAGCTATCCTAATAAAAGTTACTATGTTTGGCAAAATTGTATGGCTCAACATGCTCATACACCGAAACGCCAACGTTTCGACATGTGCTCACGCTGCAAGCGTTAGCAAGTACAGACCAATACTAACCTTTGAGTTTCCTTGAGCTGGGAAAATCTGATATAATGTGGTCTTGTCAGGCGCAATGTTAACAGGTGCAGACCGACCGGAGGCGGTCCAGCAGACAGGCATGCCGGAAGTATGCCGGAAGGTGGACCGAGTATGCCGGAAGGCGAATAGGCACAGACCGAGTACGCCGGAATATAGGCAGGTACGGACCGAGCACGGTCGGTCCCGCATACGGGCACAGGCCGGGACTTGCGGCATGTGGAAATAAGGCACGGCTCGAACACGGCAGCTGCGCGGACAGGTACGGAGCGAGCATGCTGACTGTGCGGACTGTGACTGGTGACTGTGGTGGCTGTGGTGACTGTGCAGAGAGGCGAAGGAACCTACGAAATCTCTGACCTCCTATCTTGATCAGCTCGGTTCAGTGCAACTACAAAGGCGGTGTACACATTTCAGGGACAGACGGAAAGTAAAAAGAGCGACAGTCTCAAACTGAGCACAACGTACATAAGTTCCAGGCTAGAACACGTCTAGGTGCACCGACCACGGCGCAAGACCGAGGAGCATGCAAGCTGTCTACCTCTTTCCAGAGCCATCCATCCAGAGCCATCAATTATAATAAAGCGTGCAGAGCATCAACCAACTCACACCCACAACATCGGCCTACATCAGACCGCCGAGTACATCGTCACCAACTCCCACCCACAACATCGGCCTACATCAGGCCGCCGAGTACATCGTCACCATCTCCCACCCACAACATCGGCCTACATCAGGCCGCCGAGTACATCGTCACCAACTCCCACCCACGACATCGGCCTACATCAGACCGCCGAGTACCTCGTCACCAACTCCCACCCACAACATCGGCTCACATCAGACCGCCGAGTACATCGTCACCAACTCCCACCCACAACATCGGCTCACATCAGACCGCCGAGTACATCGTCACCAACTCCCACCCACAACATCGGCCTACATCAGACCGCCGAGGACATGGTCACCAACTCCCACCCACAACATCGGCTCACATCAGACCGCCGAGGACATCGTCACCAACTCCCACCCATAACATCGGCTCACATAAGACCGCCGAGGACATCGTCACCAACTCCCACCCACAACATCGGCCTACATCAGGCCGCCGAGTACATCGTCACCAACTCCCACCCACAACATCGGCCTACATCAGACCGCCGAGTACATCGTCACCAACTCCCACCCACAACATCGGCCTACATCAGGCCGCCGAGTACATCGTCACCAACTCCCACCCACGACATCGGCCTACATCAGACCGCCGAGTACCTCGTCACCAACTCCCACCCACAACATCGGCTCACATCAGACCGCCGAGTACATCGTCACCAACTCCCACCCACAACATCGGCTCACATCAGACCGCCGAGTACATCGTCACCAACTCCCACCCACAACATCGGCTCACATCAGACCGCCGAGGACATCGTCACCAACTCCCACCCACAACATCGGCCTACATCAGGCCGCCGAGTACATCGTCATGCTAGTCTTGAATTCTACGCGATCGGCTCGCTGCTCGCACACATCTGCCACTAACAGCTTGTTCGTTATTGTCATGGGGACAGCCCGGTATTCCTGCCGCCCTCTTGCGAACACATTTCTTGTGGATGTTTTCACATTCCATGCCATTGCCCTTTCGTGATTGGCTGCATAGGTTTTCAAATCACACCCTCATATTCGCTATAAAATTATGCGTGAGCAAGTCGCTACTTACGCGCACCTTCCTCTAAGCTAACGGCTTTTAACGGATTAACGGCTAACGGTAATGGCCTTCACTGCGTGTTTGTGGTCCAGAGATTTGGAAGTGGCACTGATTGCCCAATGCAGGGTGCTTGGGTTGGGCAACATATACAAATTTTCAGTTATAGAAAAGCGACTATCGTTTGTAATTGAACAACATGCTATTTAAAGGGAGTGCTTCGCATTTGTGTGGGGTTTTCGGCTAAAATAGACATCTTGAAGAGCATTCGGTGCTGTTCACAACCTCCTCTCTAGTGTCTGAGCTGCTCGCCCGTGAAAATGGGAGAAGGTCTCCGGGAACAGCATTTCAAAGTCACCTTGGCACTCATGACGCCATCATAACTTCATTCAAGTCCTCATTCCATAAGCCATGCGGCGATCAACGCCAAGAAAAAGATATGATTGTCAAAGCTTTCATATCTGCCGCTCGTGACCACGATTTCCAGAGGAAACGACCGTCAATTTGCTATCAATCAATGTTCTGCCAGGTTCTGACGTAAGCAAGCCATGACGCATTGAAGAGCGGATTTACTAAACAGAGAATTGTGCTGCCTAGAGCAATCCTCTTCACTTAAAAAAATACCAATAGTTAAAAGGAGCTTGTTTCATCACATCTCATGTTTGCTTCAATATCTTCAAATGTGAAGCATTTTTTTGACACAGAGGAACGGCGTATGCCTCGCAGCATATATCTCATCACCATCTCGCAGTCCTGCGAAGTCGCGTAAAATGTAGTGTGGCTGCTTGCAATTGGTGCTGAAATAATGATCTAAGTATTTGGAAGCATCTGGCTGCGAACACCCGTGTCCTAGTAATGTTGCATAAGTTTAACTTAAGCACCGCAAGTTGCAAAATGTTAACCTTGCATGTGCTTTTTTATCTGGCATTAACACAACGTGCAGCTGATATTTGTGAGCTTGAAATATTGTTTACAGAGAAAACGGATGACGGTCGAATTAGAACTTAGTCAACGGAAACCAACTGAGCTAAGTGCTGGCTAATAAATAGCTCCTAGATCTACTCTCATTGATTTTCATGCATAAAACGCATGTATGTATATTGGAAGTGATTAGCCCTATCCATGCAATTGTATTTTAAACTCATTTGGGCAATGCATCGTTTTTGACACTGGTAGAGGAGCTCTGTAGTGGTACAAATTAAATGCTAGCAAAAGGACAGCTGGTAGCATACTCGCAAAAAATGAGCCCAATTTTTCCCAAAATGCTTTCCAAAACCAGTCCTTAGCACCACGACACGTGACAAAATTTCTTGGGAGAGGAGGAAGATGTTGCACTTTGTCTGAAATCGCAGATATTCAGCGCAATTTTTATTTCGGCGCGCATGCAGAAATTGCGCATGCTTTGCTTTCCGGTATGCGAGAGGGAAATGTAACCGCACCCGTTCTGCTTCACAAAACATGCACCGCTAAAAGAAACTTATGCAAATTGTCAGGCTTCCAAATGTGATTGCTGTGGCCGCGTCAGCAAGCTCCAAAAACATATAGCTTGCATAATATGTATACATGCATGTATATATAATCAAATGTATGCGTGAATATATACAACTATATGTATAAATATATACATATATTTGTAAATGATAAGCAGAGGATAGGTGAACAAAATGCAGAATTGTTGGCGATTGTCCCCTTACGGCGGCTTCCACGGCTCTGCCGCCCTCAATCATTTGGAGAAATCGACACCCATGACTACCTTCCAGCTACGACCAACACTAAGAGGCGTAAGTGTGCCCAAATGTGGCGCAGGGAGTGCACCAGTAAAGTGATTTGAAGGATAACAAATGTTTGTAGAATTCCAGCACCAGGCGGAGTTTTCGCGCTGTAGCACGCAATTATGAAAATTCCCCGGAATGTCAGCCCTGGCATAAAAGAGGTTTAAAGGCCACAATTGGCAGTGTCTCACACTCAGCCGACTTGTGCAAACACCTGACGTAACACCCATCCTCAGCCAACCCGCGGCAAGCCGCCGGACTGCCAGGGCTTGTGCCCGCTCAGGCAATTCAGTGATACCAGATGGCGTGCAATATCCCAATTTGGCAGCGCTGCCTGGAACGCCGCGGGCGAGCGGTGGACGCTACTAAAGGGCGGTCTGCTGTTGGCGCAGGCGCAGACGCTGTGGACGCGTCGGTCTGCTCACATCCAGGCATGCGCTCTCTGTTCGCGCTGTTTGCGCTGGCGGTCGCCGCCAGCGCCCAGAAGGTCCCCGACAGGTCAGTCCGCCGCCGTTCGGAGCGTGGATCTCGCACGTTGATGGGGCACGTGTGCGAGCTGGATACATGGAGAGACGTGTTCTTATTGATGCAGATGTTCCATTTATTTCATTCGGGCGTAGAGCAGCTGAGAGGGAGGCTTAATCCGAGATGAACTGCATGATGTGTGAGAAGTCTTTACGCCAGAACGACGCCTTGGCTACCAAATTACGCGCCGGACATGCCGACGAAAACGCGTGCTTGTTGTCAATCAATTGTTGTGGAGAAGAGCGGGTTCAGAGGTGCTCTGTGGGTGTGCTCAGATCCACAGACCACCTCGCCTCACCCGTAAGTTTCCAATAACACTAGGCCGATAGTTAGGCATGGTACGAAACGCCTCAGATCAAAAACTTCCCCTCCCTCATTACATTTAGAAGGTGTTGTCCTGAGCGCGCTACTGGGCCCCGGCGTGCCGTGACACCGCCCGGTCTGGGGAGCCGTGTGGAGCATGGTACGTCACAGGCGCGGCTGGACATATCTGTTTCGGACGACGCGTTACAGCCCCGAACCCAAAGACACTAGTGACTACATGCAGCAGCCCCTGGTGAAACATTCAGAATGCCCAGTGGAAAGTAGCTTATAACCATGTAAGGCGCCAATTCCAAACCGGCACTGACCTAGCGAAAGGACTTGCGCAGTCTGGGTGGTCGGTGGTCTGGGCAGGAGGCTCGAAGGAATGCGACTTCCCAAAGACAAATGTGTTCTTTGCCCATCGTAATCAGAGCAAGCGGACAAGCGGATTGATTCCTTATCATTTTTTTGTTTGTTTTTTAATCCCGACAAATCCTGAACACACGAACGCTATCCCTTATGGACGCTGTCCCTGGTGATGCGGGCCGCAGATCAAAACGACGCCTTAAGCCCGGTTGCATGGCAGAGACTCGAGCGGCGGCTTTGAGGTTATTGCCAACTCTTCGCTGAGCCTGGTGAGTGTCACGGTCGCGTGGTACTGCCTTCGAAGAGCGCGGAAGACTTGACGTCCTTTTCAAGCGACTGCCGAGCTGGAATGCCCGATAGAGGGGTGTTTTACCACACTCCTAATGCCATATTTTCGGAACTTGTTCTGTGAGTAGTTGTGTGGCCTGCAGGCCTCATGCTGGTTGCACCCTTGTAGCTGCCCACTGAAGGCGTCTCTGTGGTCCCCCAGCGACAGCGCACGAAAGGCCGGTGATAGGTGGGGTCAGGTCGGTGCCGACCACCAGGGCACCGGTCAGCTGACATTCAGCGGGGACGGCAAGGACTCCCGCCCCACAGATACCCACATGTGCCCGTGGCCTCCTTTATCGCGACTTTGTGCTTAATCGTCTTGACGAAACACAGAGAAAAAAGTACACCGCAACATTTCCAGCGTCACGAAGACTTACTGTTGCAAGGGCCGTTTCCATCGAACCATTGCTACACCTCGTACTTGCCCTTAAGCCTCACCGCCCGGCTGCTGTGAAGATGGGCTACAGTGCATGCACCACTGCATGGCGAAGGCTTGCTTTGGGCTGGTGTCGAATACCAAAAACGTGTAGATTTGTATCGCAAAAAGAGAAAACTGTCGGCAAAAAGGAATAGCACGTGTCGATTGAGCATGAGCAAGTTACGTCTTTAACTCAGAAACAATTATTTCGCATGTCTGAATATGTGAGGCGCGTCAACGGCTAAGATCCTTAAATCGTGCGCCATCTGTCCTGTCATCTGATCATCACGTCAGTCTTGAATGAGCGCCGCCACTGTGGTCTGGGAGAAAGATGCTGGACTCGTAATCCAGCGGCACTGCGTACGAATCCCAAAGCGGGCGCATTGTCTGGCCCGACTGAAACGAAAAAGGTCAGCTGGCAACCGGCCAACAAGGGTCAACCCAGGCTCGGGGCGGCCGTGTCGCAGCATTGTGCGGCACGTAAAACCCTTCGCATTTCTGTCTGGCGCAAGGGCGGAGGCAAATTTATCCGTTGAACTGGGCGATGCGACGTGGGTGGTGGGTTTACGGTGCACGCAACAAGCTATGCTTAGCAGGTACTATGAACCCAGCCACCTATGCAAACCATTCGCAATAAATTTATTTTAAAAAATACTGCGTGAGACGTGCATGTAGCATTTTTCGGAACTTTTCGTTTGCCGCTGCAAAGTTCAAGCGCCAGTGGAAAACGAGTTTCGCTGAGGTGCTACTAGACCTGTTTTTGTCAGCCGCTGATGGCGCTTAGTTAAGTATTTCCAAATGTTGAGGCCCCGGTTCCCAAATCCCATTCTCTTTGCAGATGTGTGGCGTTTGCGGCAGCTCGAACGACAGCATTATATTGTTTTTTTCGAGACAGGCTTGCCGGTTGTCCCTCCGAAGCTATTGGCAGCTAAGCCATGTGTCATCTGCGCTAACTATGTGCCATCTGCGCTAAACCCAATGACTTTTTGGACTTATTTAATAATTTTATATGCATTGTGCGCGCAAGGATATCTTAACTTTGCATGCGCAGGAAATAGGAATCAAGACAGCGTTGACAATTATGAGGCGCTTATTTTTGTGAATCGCACTTCATTTTGTTGTTTCACTGCATGTTTCTCTCCTCGTAGTAACGCCCAGTGTCTGCCAACCGATTATGCACTATGACACTGGCTTCTAATGGTACAACCAGTGGATTGTGTTCTATGGCACTGGCTTCTTCTGGTACACCCAGTGGATTGTGCGCTATAGCACTGGCTTCTACTGGTACAACCAGTGAAATTTGCACTATGGCACTGGCTTCTACTGGTAAAACCCGTGGATGCAGCTCCGCACAGCATACACGGCAACTCGGAGACAAAGCTTTCTTCGTGGATCTGGGCTTTATCGGGTTCTAGAAGCATGACAAGATGAGATCGCGCAGTCCATGGAACAACGTGCTTGTTCTTTCTCGAATCCGGTTTGTTGAATTATCGGTGCTGCCTGTCGTTGGTGCAGGATATTTTTTGTTTACCTTGCCAGGACAGTGCCAAGTTTTCAGTGATAATATGCCTCGACTGTTCATGTGGTAATTAAATCTCGTCTTATCTTAAATCTTAGATCTTGAATCTTGTAACGAGGGCACTTGCTAACCGGAGAGTGCGACCTGTTAAATGACTTTTCCAACCATTGTTGGCGATCAGTCATGAACTGCACGTGACCAGGCATGCTGTCTAGAATAGCTGAGCTCCTGGGATGGACGGTGCCGTGGCTGAAGCGCAAGAATAACTGAGTGCTTGGAACGGACGGTGCCGTGGCTGAAGCGCAAGCTGATTTTGGGACGGACGGTGCTGTGGCTGAAGCGCAGGAATAACTGAGTGCTTGGAACGGACGGTGCCGTGGCTGAAGCGCAAGAATAACTGAGTGCTTGGAACGGACGGTGCCGTGGCTGAAGCGCAAGCGGATTTTGGGGCGGACGGTGCCGTGGCTGACGCGCAAGCTGATCGGGCGTTCGGAGAAGTGTGACAGGCGACCGTAGACATCGGAGCAGTTGCAACTTATAACGACACAGTGGTGCTGGACCAACTCATCCTTCCAACTACCACATTACGGACCAGTACTGAGAAGCGTTGTACCTCGTACCGGGTTCGTTGTTCATAAGGTAGATGCGGCTGTGAATAATTAAGTCTCGGAATTCAAGCTAGGCGTTACTATGTTAGCTGGTGTTTGAATCTTGCAGGTGTGTGTGTACCCATTTATCATTTCGTAAAACCTTTTTCCAAATCATTTTCCTTGAACTGGTGTCGATAAACGCTATGCGCTGACGACCTCCCCAGACCGCGGGCTGAACACGGATCCCTCCCCTTACACGAACAATGCAAAATAAAGCATGGGGGGGTAGAATCTACTAACCCCTTGCCGGTCATTTCCTTGTGCCTTACACAGACTACGGCGAGGTCCGTTAGGCTGTCGTTACACGCTGTCCATGTTACAACCATGTCTGATAATGGGCAATGGCCGCAGTAAGCCAGTCGAGCGGCAAACAGAGCAACGGTGCAGCAACAGTGTGGACTTGGAAGCGTGGCACACAGACGGAACAGCTGAATTTTTGAAGACGGCCTCTTGTAGACCTCATTCGCGCTATCTTACAACAACCCTGCTAACGAACCACTGGTACAGCAGCACGCTGCGGGCGTTCCAGGCGCGGTTTCGCCATAGGACCGGTTGTGGCTCGCCCTTTGTGGGACAGGTTCCAGCGCGGGTCAGAGGTCGCGATGGGACAGGTTCCAGCGCGGGTCAGAGGTCGCAGGCGGCTAGTCGCGGCGCGTGGCACGTGCAAACTTGCGGGCGTTAGCACTGTGGGCGTTCTAGGCAATAAGTGACAATATGAATTTGATGTCGTCAGCAGTGTTGATAAAAACATGTCTGAACTAAGATTTCGCTCAAACTTTGCTTATGGTTTCGATTTCTATAAACAATACCTTAAAACAATATATTTGGGTTCGAAATTTGCTGAGTGATTTGTTTTAGGATTTTGTGGTCGTAGCGGTAATTGCAAATATAAAAGATTATAATACCTGTCTTAAATATGCGCGATGTCGCCTGTATCGTGGAAACTATCCTGGACTGAGGCGTTTAAAGGGTGAAGGATATACCCCGTTTGGGTATAGCTCTGACATAGGGGGAGGCTTACATCAATTCCACGCATTTTCTCACGACTGGCACAGAGCCAGGTACGTTAGTCTCAATGAAGGTACTAGCTTCTGCCTGAGTATTAACCGACACCGGCGACTCGCCGACATCCTGCGGTCCGGCTCCTGTGGAGTCACACAGTCGTTTGACTTTGGCTTGTGGGACTCAAACTCTGGCTTGTGGGACTCAAACCTGGCGAAATGCAACATTTCTATATGTCATGCGTTATTGTGCTAGCTATTTCTGACCTTTCTTTGCTTTTTAACCATCGAAGTGCCACTCATTGACGTGATGTTCTTTTTATGTCACGAACCTTTGTAGAGCTTAAGCCTTGAGTGCTAGTAATGCCTGCTCTCAGGTGTAACTG